GAGCCCCGGGCCCGCCCGCTGATGTCATCCCCGGCCCGCCGCCGCCGCCCCGGAGGATTTAAAGGGCCCGCGCCCTCCGCTCCGGGGGACGCTGGGGGCCGCCGGCGCCCGGAACCCAGTCCCCCAGTTTCGCCGAGGAGCGCCTCGCAGGAACGCGATCTTACGTGTGGGGCCACAGCTCACACACAGACACTGACACCCTGATCCGGCCTGGGGCACAGGTGTGGAAAAGCCGATGGAGGTGTGAGGAGGGCGCCCCCTAAATTGGGGTTCTCTAGACGCTAGCGTCCTTGCCCGGGTGGGTTTCTCTTTCCTCTCAATCCAAAGCACTGGACGCACTGATGATCCTGGATCTGCACGTTACTGCTAGTAGAATGTTTAGACACTGGGGGCGCCCCCCACGGGCAACAGGTCGGGGTGATTCGGGGTGAACATTCACAGGGCGGAAAGACACGGCTGCACGCTGACAAAAGACCCAGGGACCAGTCAAAAGCAGAGACCCACGGGGGCTTCTGCCTCCTCCCCTTCCAGCTGCTCAAGCCGTAAGGGCACAGGACAGAACGCAAACCCTGATCTTGTCCTCACACCCCTTTTGTGAAAGGCGCCCCCATACCACCACAGCCAACAGCACCTGAGTCTGGGTTTAGCCAGCCAGCTCCCAGCTCTGGGTGGGTTTCCCCGACCCTCCCTCCCCAGGTCAGGCAGGAGGAAGGCTTCCTACCTGCTTCCAGAACCGCCGATGAAAGGGCCCAGGGAGAGTCATTAAAATTATATTTACACTGTGCCACGCTCCCCATGGGAGTGACACACCCCTTCACACACTGCGGCGACTGTGGACACACAAGTCCACAGTCACAAGCAGGGCCCCTCCCGGAAGCTGGCACTTCCATAATCGCAGCATCTTCCCTCAAGCCTGAGCCCTGAGTCACACCTGCCCAAGCTGGTCGGAGCCCCTCAGTCCAGGTTCTTTGGACAGCCCGGGCCCAGAGAGGGGCAGGGGCTTGCCCATGACCACACAGTGCAGCAACATGGCACCGTCCTGCCCCTGGCCCCAGGGAAGCTGAGCCTATCCTGAGCCCACTTCCAAGAGCGGCTGTGAGGACAAGCCTTTCCTGTGGGGCCCAGGGCTAGGGGCCAGCCACCTGCCCACCTGCCTTCACAGCCCAGGCCCCCCCTTGCCATGGGTTATCACCTCCCACCTCACCAGCCTGAATCCTGACCCATCTCCAGGGCTCCCCCGCCTCCCTCCGGCCACTGCAGCACCTTCCCCTGCAGGAGGGAGCCTGGTCCCACTGAGCAGGGATCGGACGTGCCCTCCCTCCTCCCTACACCATGGCCCTGCTCCCCAGTTTCGGGCCCTCCCTCTCCAGGAAAGGGCCAGAAGCTCTCCACAGCTACCCCGGCACTTACTCCTCTCAAACAACAGATTAAAATCTACTCTCCTCTTTCCCTGGTTTAGAAAGGGAATCTGAGGTCACAATGGGGCTTGTCTAAGGGCACACACTGAGGAGGGAGGGTTCCCCTCCTGACGCCCCTTGCCCTGCTCGCTGTCCAGCCGCACAACCACCAGCCCATCCCAGAGCCAGCCGGGGGCCACCACTGGAGACCCACTCCTGTCCCCAAGGCCGCCCAGTCTCTCCCCTGTGTCCCCACCCACCCCCTTGGAAGAGTGCTCCCCACAATCTGCTCCTAATTAGCTATTTCTTCTCCTTCCTACTCCCCTACAAGATCTGGGTGCCGCTACAAAGCTCCAAAATCCAGCTGAAAGAGGACACAAAACCCAGCAGAGGAATAGAGTGCATCCCACAGGGAAAGAAAACTCAGTGAGTTTGCACTTCTGCGGCTGCCCCCCGCCCTCCAGTCAGCTCAAGGGTTCCTCACTCCAAACCCTATGGGTGTGGCACCCTAGGCCCCCTCCCTGCAAACCCACCCACCCAAAACTGCAGTCTGGCCTGGGTTTTAGCTGCTCTGCTTACAAGCAGCCCCTTCCCAGTGTGGCATTCTATACCTGTGCAGAGCCCAGGGCCCAGGACCTCAAGGTCAGCCCTGGGATGGGCAGCCCATGAGGAGGACGCTGCAGGTGGGATCAGAGGGGGATGGATGGCAGTTCCTTCCAAAGGGACCTGTAGGCTGAGGACCGTGGAGCTGCTGACCACCACGGCAGAGCCATCTCAACCCAACTGGCACAACTTCCCCCTCTCCCAGGGCCCTCTCCCATCAGCCTCCCTCTTAGCCAGGCGCTGGCCTCCTCACTGCCCCTGGGGTGAACCGGGCAGGCTCCAGCCTCAGGGCCTTAGCCCTGGCTGTTCCTGCTACCCTGTGCTGTTCCCTCAGCGCGCACGTGGCTCATTCCTCCACCTCCCTTGACCTTGACTCTCAAGCCACCTGCACGCCTCCTGATTTAACACCCCCACCCTCCCAGGGAACTGCCTCTCCTTTCTGCCTCATTTTCTTCCTGGCATGTATCACGTCTAATACATCCTTTTCTCCCCTTTAACTTGTGGTTTCTTTTTCTTTTTCTATCATATTTTAGAGGATACTTTTAGAATTTTTTTTTTTTTTGGTCTGTCCCCCCACTAGAATATAAATGGCATGGTGCCAGGCAGTTAATGCCATTTTGGGCACCCCCGTCTGGCGTGTAGGCGTATCCAACAAATATTTGCTGAGTGAATGGTGGGTGGGCCGTGGAGGGCCAGCCTCCACGCTGACCAAACACTGGGCACCCACTCACTGTGAGCCAGAACGTGGGAGGCTTGAACCTCCCTCCTCACACCCTCCAGGGAGGCTCAGGCTTGGCAGCGCCCGCTTTGAACCCCTTTGCCCACCTTCCTAGACCAGTCCTGGGCCCTTCTGTGGGTGGCCCATCCTGTGGTGGGGAGGAGTCAGGATCCTAGTGAGATGTCTTTATTCAAACCCCATGTTTTACCAAGAGGCCAACCCCCAGGGAGTTCGCCTCACACCACAAAGGGGCTTCAAATGCTGACTCTGCCATTATCCAGCTGTGTGACCCCCGAAAGTTTTTTAAACTCTCAGAGCCTCATTAGTTTAAGAAAAAACAAAAAACAAAAAAAAAAAACAACAAAACCCTTCCCCCCAGGACAACAGAGATGACCCTGCACAAAAGCAATTAAACCCAGAAGCAGCCCCCAGGGAGAGGCCGGTGGGACCATCCAGTTCTTGGGGTCCCTTTGGGCACCCAGGCTGTCTCTCGTTTCTTTCCTTTCTGTCCCTGGCCCTGGAGGGACTTCAAGCAGCCCCTTGAACGTGGGGGTGGGCTGAGGAAGGCCACCCCTGCAGGCCCAAGTGAGCCCCGGTCTCGCCCACCAGTCACCCCATCTCCTCTCTAGGGGACCTCGAGGATCAGGTAGCCCCACACATGGGGCTCCACTTCAAGAGGTCCCCCAGTCCTGCTGACCTGAAGATGCCATCCTGGGACATTCTCGCCGCCCCCCAGGCCTGGGCCCAGACCCTTCCTGGGGGATCCTGGGTGCTGCCAGGCAGCGCCTGTCTGATCAGCACCTCTCCAGACGCCCCTGCTTCTGGACGTTTCTGCCCGGTGACCTCACCACCTTGCCATGCCTAGTCAGGTCTTTCCCGGGTGGAGGTTCTGCCCACCCCTCCATCTCCACACGCAGCAAGGGGCCTGGGTCCTGGGGCTCAGGTTTGGGTGCCAGCTCAGGCCCTGGATTTCAGGGGGGACTAGACTAGAAACCTCGCGGCTTTCTGTAGTCCCCACATCTGTAGACTAAGGGGAGTGGCTGGGGAGCACCTGAACCTTCCACCTCTCAGGCACAGCACTGTGAGATTCTGAGGTCACTGAACCTGGGCTTTGTGGGAAAGGGATCTTCCCCCCTGCACCCCCTCACCCCCCAACACACACACTTCCCGGCTTCTCTGCCCCACCTATGTTCTGGACTCAGCCCTCCCGCCACGGTCCTCTCTGGCCTGGACGCCAAGGTGGCCTGGCAGCCGGAGGGGGCGTCCCTCTGCTGCTGAGAGCACACAGGTGCCTCTGGCCCCACCCTGCTCTGCTCTGGCCGCTCACCCCACCTCACCCCACCTCGCTGGTCTTTCCTTTCACCACACCCGGCCTTGCATGTACTGTTCCCTCTGCCCAGCACAGCCTCCGGAGCTCGGAGCTCCAGGGCCGCACAGAGGCCCCCCGCCCTCGTCACAAGGTGTAAGTGGCCCCTTCCCCGACACTCACCACCGACTGCCTCTGTATTCTCTTCATGGCACTTAACCCTGGCTGAGGACATGACCTTGTTTATTTTTTAATGGTCTTGAATAAGCTCCAAAGGAACGCAGCCCTCCCGCGGGGGCCAGCTGGTAAGGAGTACCCCCAAATACGGAGCGGTGAGCAAATCCTGTGGCAGGCTTGTGGTGTAGGGGCGCAGGCAGGGCCTGGAGCTCCCCCTGGGCCCGACAGCCTTCTAGGGGACAGGCCTCTCCCCGGCTCCTCCCCACGCCTTCCAGTCATCTCCCGGGGCCTTCTCAGCTGCCCCCTCCACGGGGCA